ATGCCAGGTTTCTTCCTTTCTACACTAGTGTATTACTCCTTTTACATTCCCTTCCCTTCCCCTCTTAAAACTCATGGGACAGGACCAATCCACCTCCAAGATCTCTGTTTCTCTTACTGAATCCTCTCAATACTTTTTGAAGACATTAAGGTTCTGAGGGGATACTTTGTTCCTTCTCCTCCTATTAAAATGTTATACTATATCATGATATAGCTCTTTACAGTTACTCAAATGAATTTACTTTCTCCAGTTTTCTTTGGACTCCTGTGTTTGTACGTCTAAGTTCCTACTTAGCTCTGATTTTTTTTTCATCAGAAATGCCAGTAAAGGTTTATTTTGCCTATGGTAGGATTATATGCAGCTTTGCAGGGTAAGTTATTCTTGCTTGTAAACCTGTCTCTCTTTCCTTTTGAAATACCGTACTCTGAGATCTACTCTCATTTTTAGTAGAAGCTGCCAAGTTTTATGTGAACCTGATTGTAGCCCTGTGGGAGTTGAATTGCCTCTTTCTGGATGCTTGCGATATTTTCTCTTTGATGGGAGGTCTGAATATTGTCTGTGACATTTCTGGGGTTCCTTTCAGGAGATGATGGTACATTCTGTCTTTGCTTTGCCCTCTGGTTGTAATAAATGTAGGCAGATTTAATTTATGATTTCTCGAAATAGTATTCAGCTGTTTTTTTTTAAATCATGTTTTTCAAGAAGTCTAATGATTCTCAAGTGATCTCTCCTTAACCTGTTTTCCAGGTGAGTTGTTTTTTGATATCAGATATCTTACTTTTTCTTCTATTTTTTTTTCCATCTTTTGATTTTGTTCTGATATTTCTTGCTATCTCATGGAGTCATTGACTTCTACTTGGTCTATTTTCAGAGATTTTGATTTTCAGTAAGATTTACTATTTGCTTTTTAAAGCTAGTACAACTTTCTAATTCTTTTCTCCAGAGCTTTTATTCCATTTTTGATTTCTTGTTTCATTTCTTCCAGGTATTCATTTAATCCTTGTGGAAAATTCGTGGTTTCCTTTGTAGTTTTTATGGAGTCAGATTTGCAGTCATTTGTTCTACTAGTTGGTAATTTCTTTGATTTAATCATCTCTCTAGCTTTCAGCAAGCATTAAGGGCCTACAATGTGCCTAACACTGTACTAAGCTTTAGTCTCTGAATTGTGTCTTTAAATGGCATAGAGAGGAAAGAGAAGAGAGCCCAAGGCAGAGTTCTGGGGGATACCCATCTTTAGCGGGAGTGAACTGGATGAAGATGCCACAAAGGAGCCTGAGAAGGAGTAGCCAGATAGCCAGGAGGAAAACCAGGAGAGAGTGGTGTAATGGAAACCTAGAGAGAAGAGAGTATCAAGGAGGATGGGGTGACCAACGGTGTCAAAGGCTGCGGAAAAGTGAAGAAGGATGAGGTGTTAAAAATGGCTATTAGATTTGGCAAATAAGAGATCGTTCATAACTCTGAAGAGAGAGCAGTTTTAGTTAAGCCAGATTGTAAAGAGTTAAGAATACAGTGAGAGGACAGGACATGGAGACATCGATTACAGATGGCCTTCTTAAGGAGTGTAGCCACAAAAGGGAGAAGAAATATGGAATGACAGCTAATGAGGATGAACAGATCAAATGAGGTTTTTAGAGGATGAGAGAAGACATGGGCATGTTTGTAGGCAGTAGGGAAACAAGCAGTAGAGATGGAGGGATTGAAGATAAGTGAGAGGATGGGGATGATGAAGGGGACAGTCTTCCAGAGGAGATGGGAGAGAGTGGGATCGCTTGTGCATGAAGAGAGGTTTGCTTGGTAAGGAGAAAGGCAGCCTGTTTGTGAGCCAGAGGCGAAGGAGAAGATAGTGGCTGAAGGCATCTAGGTGATATGAGGTGAGGAGGAGGAAGAGAGAACAGGGAGCTCTTAGCAAATGGTTTCAATTTTTTTTCAGGAAAATCTGAGACACGATTGTCCGCTAAGAGTTTGAGAGCGTAAGTTCTTCAAGGCCCTTTCACGTATCTCAGGACAGAGGGTTAGGGAGCTCAGAACCCTTGGACCTTGGCCGCTCTTCTCTACGGGCTGCAGTACCATGATGGTTGCTGCTCAGTGCCGCTCCCCTAGGCTTCCAGGGTCCCTACCCACAGGCTTTCTCAGGGGAATCCTCTGCTCTCGCTGACTCTAGACACAGAACCTTGCAGGCAAACCTATGCCATCTCTGGTCACACAAGGAGGGCACTTTATCCCTTGCCTATGGGTGCTGGATGTCTTTATGCTGTTCTGAGGTGGTAGATGTCACGTACTGTAGTTTCTAGTTGGATTTCTTGATCATTCTGTCTGGTGCAAACATCGGGTTTTGCTAGATGGGTAACAAGGATTTGGATAGACTATAGCTGTCTTGTTTTGGCAGCCACCTCAGCAGGATAACCTGAAGGATTACTTTTAGAGAGCTAGAAAAAAAAATGAAACAAATCTCATGTGAAGAAACAAAAGGTCAAAATCCTCAAAGGAAATAATGGGGCAAGGGGCATGGGAAACTTAGCAAGGACAGACCTCAAAGAATTCTGCAAAGCAGTTTTCATCAAACTCTTGGTACTGGTTAAAAGGTAGAAAAGTTGATCAGTAGAATAAATTGGGTAAACAACATACAGACACAAAAGACAAGATAACAGTGTTCAATAACCCAGACACCCCAAATAATAGGATGAGCACTCACCATTCGTCAAAAAGTGCTGGCAAAATGGGAAAGCAGTCTGGCAGAAATTAGTTTAGACTAAGTTCTTATACTATATATCACAAAAAGCTCCAAATGTATAAATGACCTAAATACCAAAAAAAACCCCAAAAAAAAGCACCCCCAAAACACATTAAGTTGTTGTTGTTGTTATATAGTGTTTACTATGTGCCAGGTACGGTGCTAAGTGCTTACAAATTACCTCATCTCATTTGATTCTCGCAACAACCGTGGGGGTAGATGCTACTATTATTCCCATGAGAATAATGAGGCAAATAGAGGGTGGCCCAGAATTACAGCTAGTAAGTGTCTGAGGTTAGATGTCAACTCAGGTCTTCCAGACTCCAGGTCTGGCATTTCATCCGCTGTTATCACCTAGGTGCCCCAAGGAAATAAGGAAGAAAATACTTTTTGTAACTATAGATAGGGGAAGAATTTATGACCAAATAAGGGATAGAGATGATCACAGAGAATAAAATGAACAGTTTTGATTATACAAAATTGAAAAGTTTTTGCACAAAAAAAACGAATGCAATTAAAATGAGAAGGTAAACTGGGAAAAAAAATCTTTGCAATAGGTTTCTCTGATAAAGGTTTGATATCCAAGATATATAAGGAACTGATTCAAACATAAGAACGACGGCCATGCCCAAATAAGTAAATGGTCAAAAGATTTGAACGGGCAGTTCTCAAAGGAAGAAACTCGTGCTATAAACAAACAGAAGAAAAATGCTCCAAATCACTATTAGACAAATGAAAATTGATATAACTATGGTTCTATTTCACAACCATCAGATTAAAAAAGATGGAAGAAAAAGGAAAATTACAGTTGTTGAAAGGACTGCAGGAAGACAGGCACAATGGTGCTCTGCTGATGGGGCTGCAAATTGGTCTAACCATTCTGGAAAGTAATAAGAACTATATCCAAAAAGTCACTAAACTGTGCCTATCCTTTGACACAATGATTATCACTTGTAATCCTGTACCCCAAAGACATCAAAGAAAGATGAAAAGGAAATTGTGCATACCCTTTGACCCAGCAATAGCACTTCTAGGGTTGTATCCCAAAGAGATCATAAAAATAGGAAAAGGACCCACATGTACAAAAATATTTATAGCAGTTCTTTTTGTGGTGGCAAAGAACTGGAAATTGAGGGGGTGCCCATCAATTGGGGAATGGCTGAACAAGCTGTGGCATATGAATGTAATGGAATACTATTGTGCTATAAGAAATAATGAGCTGGCAGACTTCAGAAGAACCTGGAAAGACTTGTGAAGTGAGCAGAACCAAGAGAACGTTGTTCACAGTAACAGCCACGTTGTGTGATAGATAACATTGATAGACTTAGCCCTTCTCAGCAATGCAAGGATCTAAGACATCTCCAAAAGTCTCATGATGGAAATGCTATCCACATCCAAAGAAAGAACTATGGAGTTTGAATGCAGATCGAAGCATACTATTTGCTATTTTTTCTTCTCTTTTGTTTTGTTTCCTCTTTCTTGTGGTTCCTTCTATTGGTTCTAATTCTTCCTAACAACATGACTAATGTGAAAATATGTTTAATAGGAATGTATATGTAGAGCTGATATCAGGTTGCATGCCATCTTGGGGAAGGAGGCAGGGAGGGAGAGAAAATTTAAAACTCAAAAGCTTATGAAGTGATTGTTGATAAATCAAAATAAATTAATAAAAAAGACGAAAAGGGCTTATGTGCACAAAAATATGCAAATATGGCCAAGAATTCAATTCCTTGTTTATTAGTTACTTCTGTTTTTCTGTCCATTGATCTTAACCTAAATTTTTTCTGCCAACCTTCCCCTTTTCTGTTCCTAGATTTTCTCTCATGAGATTATCTTTTAAATATACAGTGCTATCCTTCTACCCCTTTTTAAACCAATCCTGTATAATCTTTCAAGTTATGATTTTTTCCTTTTTGCTGCAAACATAATATTATGTTCCTTCAATTACTTTATCTTATTTTTTTTAAGGTAGCCTTGTTCTTACTGGCTCTCTTACCCTCATCTCTGATTCTTTCCTCCCATTTTGAATTCCCTTTCCCTTTGGAGTTTTGATTATTAGTTCATTTCTACCTCTCCTGCTTTTATCTGCCGTATAATTCTTTTCCTCCTTCACTTTTTTTCCTATCAGTTCCCTCCTCTTCTCCCTTACAAGTATTCTAGATTATTGATCATTCTCTTTGACAGATGAGACAGAATTGAATAAGTCTCAGTTTTCTTTCTTCAATCATAGAGAATGAGGCATAGTAATATTTTTTCCCCTTTCTTTTAGAGTGCCTTAATCTGGAGATTAGCTGTGAAACAACAGAGGCAATTCCAAAGCTGGACATTTTTGTGAAAGAGTCATCCAATGAAAGAATCAAGTTAGTAGAAGCCTGGCAGCGTGCTGTTAGATTAGAGCAGCAAAAGGACAACCATGAGAAACAGTACCAGCCAGTGACAGTCACCCACAGGAAAACATCTACTACGTCTATTGCCAATGAACGTAATACATTAGAGAAAGAATTCCATGTGGGGTCAAGCTCATTTCCAAAACGAAGGATTCGTACAAAGAAAAGTCGACATAAACATGATAAACGTGGAAAGAACTTTACACATTTTTCAGATGAAAGTAAACAAGATAGAATCTTTTCTAAGAAGAAACTCTGCAACTATAATAAATGCAGTAAGTCATTCCATTACCATTCACACCTTATGCAACATTACAGAAAATATACTGAAGAAAAAGCATATGAGCATGGGAAAATCTTCAGCAACACTTCATCTCTTACAAACTGTCTGACAATTCATGCTACAGAGAAATTTTTTCAGTGTACTGAATGTGGAAAAGCCTTCAGCTGCAAATCTAGTCATATTCTATATCAGCGAATTCATTCTGGAGAGGAATCCTTTGCATGTAATGAATGTGTGAAATCTTGTAGAAGGAGTATATCCCTTACTAAACCTAAAAGACTTCATATTGAAGAGAAACGCTTTGAATGCAGTGAATGTGGAAAATCCTTCCGTCATTGCAGAAACCTTGACAAACATAAGAGAATTCATACTGGAGAGAAAACCTTTGAAAGTACTGAGCGTGGAAAATACTTTAATCATTGTAGAAACCTTGACAAACACAAAAGAGTTAATACTGGAAAGAAACCCTTTGAATGTAGTGAATGTGGGAAATTCTTCAGTCATTACAGAAGCCTTCACAGACACAAGAAAATTCATACTAGAGAGAAAACCTTTGAATGCATTGAGTGTGGAAAATACTTTAGTCATTGTAGAAACCTGGATAGGCATAAAAGAATTCATACTGGAGAGAAACCTTTTAAATGTAGTGAATGTGAGAAATCCTTTAGCTATAGGACCCTGCTTACTCATCATTATAGAATTCATACTGGGGAGAAACCCTTTAAATGTAATGAATGTGGGAGATCCTTTAGAGGGCGTGGACACCTTAATAGACATAAAGTAATTCATACTGGAGAGAAATCCTTTGAATGTGATGAATGTGGGGAATCCTTCAGAAGGAGTGAATCCCTTAATAATCATAAGAGAATTCATACTGGAGAAAAACCCTTTAAATGTAATGAATGTGGAGAATCCTTTAGAAGGAATGAATACCTTACAAAACATAATAGAATTCATACTGGAGAGAAACCCTTTAAATGTAAAGATTGTGGAAGATACTTTAGAAGAAGTGAATCCCTAACTAAACATAAGAGAATTCATACTGGAGAGAAACCTTTTAAATGTGATGACTGTGGGAAATACTTTAGAAGGAGTGACTCTCTTACTACACATAAAAGAATTCATACTGGAGAGAAACCTTTTAAATGTAACGAATGTGGGAAGTGCTTTAAACAATATGGAAACCTTAGCAGCCATAAGAGAATTCATAGTGGCGAGAAGCCCTTTGAATGCAGTGAATGTGGAAAGTCTTTTCGTCAGTGTGGAGACCTTACTAAACATAAAAGATTTCATACTGAAGAGAAGTCGTTTAAATGTAGTGAATGTGAGAAGTCTTTTCACCACTGTGAAGAGCTTGATGGACATAAGAGAATACACACTGGAGAAAAACTTTTTGAATGCAATGAATGTGGGAAAACCTTTAGAAGAATTGTATCCCTTACTAGACATATGAGAATTCATACAGGATAGAAACTTTTTGAATGTGATGATTGTAGGGAAATCTTATAAAGTAATGTCTCTGATAAAGATCTGATATAAGATTTATGGGGAATTGATACATAAAAATAAATTCTATTCCCTTTTTACAATGATTAAAGAATGTGAACAAAGAATTTGCAAAAGATTTGCAATCTACAACAGACATGTGTAAGAGTGTTTCAGATCACTAATAATAAGAGAAACACAAGAAAACAATTACAATTTTGTCTCATACCTTTAAGATTGACAAAGATGACAAAAGACACAATAGTAGATGTTTGAAAGGCTTTAGGAAGACAAGTACATTAACACGTGGTTAGCAGAGCTGTGAACTGGTCCAGCCATTCTGGAAAAAAAACATTTGGAATTCTGTTTTTAAAAATCACTAAGTGTAAGTACCCTTTGATTTGGTAATACCACTAGTAGGAGATCAGAAAGAAAGAAAGCAGTGCATATATCAGACTTTTTTTTGATATACTGGTTCATTTTACTGAACTATTTCCCCCCTTTTGTTATTCTTTATCATATAGCAACCTTTTGGAAGGGGAAGGAAAAGAATGCAGTGGGAAATATGGGTGATGTAAAAATAAAATACATCAATAAAAAAATTTAAAGTCAGGAAGATGCCATTTTTATGAAAATACTTATAGTAGGACTTTTTTCTAATAGCAAAGAATTAAAAACAAAGTAATTGAGGAATAACTGTGACACATGAATTGCTGAAATATTACTGTACCATAAGAAATCACCAATGTGAAGAATTCCTAGAAGTATGAGAAGATTTCTATGAACTGATGTGTAGTGAAGAAGCAAAACCAGGAGAGTAATGTACACAATGACCACAGTAATTCAAGGAGGGAAAAATGACTGAAAGACTTCAGAACTCTGATCGACATAGTGACCAGTCATGACTTCAGGGGACCAAAGGTGAAGCATACCCTCCCATCTCTTGACTGAAAGGTCTAGAATGAGACATACGTTTTCAGATATAGCCAGTATTTTTGTTTTGCTCATAGTAAGGGAGATTTTTTGGGGAAGAATGGGAAAGTCACTGGGAAGGAGGATGATAGAAATAAAAACAACATTTTTTTTTTAAAGGGGAGGGTATCCTTTTGATAGAACAGTTACTACAATAAGATAATCCATAGGGCTAGGCACTAGATTTGTGATTTCATTGGTCCAGGGAACTGCTAGTTAAAGAAACTTCTACTAATGCAGTTTGGCACCTTCTCTTCAACATATAATCTTAGGGAATTGTCTAGTCAATCAACAAGCATTTATTAAGTGCTTACTCTGTGCCATGTACTGTGCTGAAAGGAGTGTAAAGAAATGAAAAAAGGGAGACAATGTGTAAAACTGTATTAGTCAATAAGCATTTATTAAGCCCTTATTATGTTCCAGGCACTGTGGTAACTGCTGGGATACAAAGGAAGGTAAAATGATTTCCTGCCTTATGGAGTTCACACTCTAATGGAGGAGATAATATGCAAAAAATGTACATGCAAAATATGTACATTGTAAATGGAAAGTAATCACAGATGGAAGGAAATTGGAGGAAAGAGGAGGAGGAGATGAGAAAGGCCTCCCTGCAGAAGATGTATGTACGAGATATGTCCAGAGTAGAGGCCCAGAGCAGAGAGGTTACATTACTTGCCCACTAGGGCCACCACTAGGTTTGTAACAGAGGCAGCACTTGAGTTCATGTCTTCTTGGCTTCGAGGCCAGCTCTTTATCTACTATTCCAAACTACCTCTTGTCCTGCCAGATAAATTCATATTAGTGGAAAAACCTTTGTGTGTATTGAGAGTGAAATATCCTCTCTAGACTTGGAAAACTTGGTAGATATGAGAGAATTATACTGCAGAGAAATCCCACTCCATTCTCACAATCATACCTTAATCTTCAAACTTTCCTTCTCTGCTACAAATGCTCCTCTCTATTACATCCTTAAAAAACTTTTCCATACCCTGCTATCCTCCCAAGCTATCATCCTATATCTCCTCCTTTTCTCAGCCAAACTACTAGACAAAACTGTTCATGCTCAGTGCCTCCATTTCCTGTCCTTTCACTTCTCAACCTTTTTTAAAGAGTATTTTTCCCAATTACATGTAAAGACAATTTTTAACGTTTTAAAAAACTGAGTTCCAATTTTTCTTTCTTACCTTCCCGCTCCCTAAGATGGCAAGCAATTTGACATAGGTTATATATGTGCAATCATGTAAAATATTTCCACATTAGTCATGTTGTAAAAGAATAAATGGACCAAAAGAAAAAAAAAACATAAAGTGAAAAATAGTATGCCTCCATCTACAATCAGACTGCATTAGTCCTTTCTCTGGATGTGGATAGCATTTTTCATCATGAGTCTTTTGGAATTGTCTTGGATTGTTATATTGCTGAGAATAGCTAAGTCATTCACAGTTTTCAATCCTTTTCTCTCTGAGTTCCAGCCTCATTACTCAAGTGAAGTTGCTCTCTCTAATGTTACCAATGACCTCTTGATTGCAGAATTCTTTTCTCAATACCTTCTTTATCTCTCTACTGTTGCCTGCAACTAAGAGTCACACCTGACGGGAGAGCATGAAATGAAGAAACGTGGGCCAGGCTGGTCAGCCAAGACTGATCCGTTTATTCATCTGAGGGTCACAGCATATATAGGAAAAAGTTTGGAACTGCAAAGGATCCCTTGTGTGGGAAAACTATGCATATTCTGTAACTGTTGCTGATTACACTTTCAAGGTTTAGAGCTTGGTAAAAGATGCCTTCAGGACATACATCAAAGGCGCATGCAATAAAAATGTCAAGAAAAGGATTACATACATTTTAAACAAATGGTTACAAGATAGAGATTAACAGTCAATTAACAGGCCTCGACAATCATTCTCAGGGCTGGCTCAGGTTCTTATCTCAAAGTATGTGACTAGTCCTCCCTAGTTTGCCACACGTTATCCCTCATGCCAGACTTTTATTGTGTCACGGTCGGGTGGAGCCCCTTAATGAATAGGAGAGTGGTGAGCCAACATCCTGATTGAGTGAGCCCTTGAAGGTAAGAACAGGCAGGAGTTAAATTCCAACCTGAATTCTTTAACCCTTTCTGGAGGGATCAGAGCTGGCCCTCTACACTCTATAATATTTGACACTTGTTTACCAATTCTCTTCTTGGATATTCATCTCCAACCTGTACCCTGGACCTTCTCTATTATATCCCATTTCTTCATATTAAAACTTCACTCACCTTTTTTAAAAATCGAGTTAACCAATGGTTTATTTTTTCCCAAAATGTATTTCTGTACCCAACTATGAACGTTTTCTTTTCTCCTTTGACCAGGTCAGAATGTGAGATTCAAGTGTAACTCACCGCCCTCTCCCCCTACCTTCTTGTTTATTGTGGCTCCTTTTTAAGTGTGATAATTTTCAAAGTTCTACTCAGCTCTTTCATCGGGAATAACAATATTTAGGAATACAGTATTCCTAAAGAAAAAAAGATACAAGCTTAATAATTACCCAGCAAAACTTAGTATGATCCTATGGGAAAGAGATAAGGGAATGAACCTTTAGTGAAATAGGAGACTTTCAATTATTCCTGATGAAAGAGCTGAGTAGAACTTTGAAACACAAACACCAGAGTCAAGAAAAGCAAAAATGAAAAGGTAAACATGAGTGAGTAATCATGAGGGCCTAAACAAAGACAAGGTGATTACATTCAAAAATAGGGAGATGATACATGTATCCCCTCAGAAATCTATCATCAGGGGCCATGGAGGGCTTAGGAGGGGTTCTGTTATGTTCTGATGATTTTAAAAGAAGACTGGAAAAGTAAGGCAAGAGGAATACACCAGAGAATTCGAGGGGAGAGCAAAGATGAGGAAAATTATCACACAGGAATGTTCGCTATCACCATTGCTATTCCATATAGTTCTAGAAATGCTAGTAATAGCAATAAGACCAGAAAAAGAAATTGAGGGAATAAGTGTAAGCAAAGATGAAAAACAATCACTTTTGTAGCTGATATGATGGTTTACTTACAGAAACCTAGAGAGTCAGTTAAGATCTAATTGAAATAATTAACTTCAGCAAGGTTGTAGAACATAAAATAAACTCTACACAAAGCATCAATAATTCTATAGATTACCAACAAAATCCAGTAGGAAGAGATAGAAGGAAAATTCCATTTAAAATAACTACAGAAAGTATAAAATATTTGGGAGTCTGCCTCTCAAGATACACATAGGAATTATGTAAACACAACTATAAAACACTCTACAGAAACACACAGAGGTCTAAATAATTAAAGAAATATTCATTGCCTATAGGTAGACTGAGGTAATATAATAAAAATGACAATGCTACCTAATTAATTTATTTAGTGCCGTGCCAGTCAAACTACCAAAGTATTACTTAGAGAGCTAGAAAAAGTAATAGCAAATTAATTTGAAGGGACAGAAGTTCAAGAATCCCAAGGGAATTGAAAAAAGTGTGAAGGAGTACAGCCTAAGCAGTAGCAGATCTCAGATTCTGCCAGAAAACAATCATTGAAACAATTTGGTACTTATTAAGAAATAGATTGATTAATGGAACAAATTAGGTATAAAAAATCCAAAAACAAACAGTAGCTTAACATTGGATAAGCCCAAATATCTCAACTATTGGGCAAAAACTCACCATTCAAGAAAAAAAAAAAAAAACCTGGACAAAACTAGAAAGCAGTCGGCAGATACTAGATATAGACCAATATCTCACACGATATACCAAGATACCAGGATAAACTACAAAGGGATGCATGACAGACATAAAGGGTGACACCCTAAACAAATTAGAGAGATGAGGGAAAAAACACCTGTCAGATATATGAACAGAAGAAGAGTTCATAAATAAAAGAAATAGAGAGGATCACAGAGAAACTCAGAAAGACTTGTATAAACTGTTGCAAAATGAGGTGAGCAGAACCCAGAGAACAATTTATACAATTAACGACAACATGGTAAAGACAACTTTGAAAAACTCAGGAACTCTGATCAACACATTGACCAACCACAATTCCAAAAGACTCATGGCAAAACTT